AAAACCCAAACAATTACCACATCTCCAAACAGCAACGAAGCCAGCTACATCGTGTCAAGTGGAAATGCTTCTTTAACGATGCATCCTATATATCTACATATATGCATCTTTTTATAAGGCAAGTCATAAAGCCATTAAAAAAAAGACGACAAATCATCAATATTTTAATGGGTCTTCAACAGGATGATTTAACTCAATATCTCTTGTCAACTCTGGCAGTTTTCCAAACAAACTAACGCACTCTGAAAGTGTAAGACAGAGATCCCCTCCTAGATATGTGTTGATCGATGATATGCGGGGGAAAAGTAGAGGATGAGTAACCCTAAGGTTGTCCAATAACAATTTGCGTTTGCTGCTTGGTTCACCTGCCGCCATATCCAAGAGCTTCATTAAGTTATGAAGATCCTCTACAATCATGTTAGCGATCTCTTCCTCCGTCTTCTCCTGAATCTCGTCCTCTGTACTCATGGCAGGCACCTTGTCAATATAATGAAACGAGGCTGATGATGAAGAGTGGACATCATCAACAAAATATAATATCCGTACATCAGAACAACTAGCCTCTTCTTTTTCTGCGCAGTGTTTTTCCAAAAGCTTTAAAAAAAGGATGATGTGCCTTTCAACTCCTTCAATAAGCTCAATAAAATGAGTATCATATTCAATCAACAACCCGGAAGGCTTCATCATCGTGGTGCTTTTCTCAGATAAAGGATTCTCACTAGTTTCTACCGCCTTATCCAAGAGTTCTGACAGAAATAATCCGGCTGAACGACTGGCATTTTCGTTCTTTTTACCAGCTACTACTACTCTAAGCAAAAAGGGATCCCCTGATTTTCGCTCCACCGCATAGAACTTCCTCAGCATCACTTCGAGCAGAGAGTGTGCCTCGGTAAATGCATTGACTGCCTGAAGCTGTGCGTCACTAAACGTTCCATTCGGCGCTTTTGACATGTTAAACAGCAACTTCAAAAAAAAGGGCTAGATATCTTTCTTTTGCGAACAAGCAAAGAGTAAAAAAAAAAGGAATCATTCATAACTGTATATATATATAGAAACAACACACAACAAAAAAAAGTCGTTCAACGAAGGTTTCCCTTCTCCATTTCGGTTTAAAGGCAACACTAAAATCCTAGCATACGTTAAATGGAACTCTAGCCGTAATAATAATAATAGTAGTAATAATAATAACAATAATAACAACAATAATATGTCGTAGAAGCAGAGTAGCATAGGAAACACAAAAAAAACTGATACACTAAACAGAAATTTCTCCCCATTCAGGTTTACAACGAGGGTATGGAGCACCCCTTCGACCTTCCCAAATAAAAATGAACTACAACAAAACCCAGCAGCGACAATGGGTAATCGAAAGACGAAACATCCTTTTAATTATGTATTCATTCTTCCTTCGCAGAAAAAGAAACCAAAAAAAACACAACATCATCCAATTAAACGCGCATGGAAGACCCCGAACTACCTACCATGGATACAGAACCATGTTTTTCTATGCGAGGGAGACCGGCGCGGCTCAACAATTGTACGACCAGCATCGCCCTCGAAATTCTGGCGCGCCAGAGTGCCAACGCGGTAGCATTGCAATAAGAAAAGCGGCAAGTCTGGCCGCCCTCGCACGCGACGCCAGTGTCTGCCGTCTCTGCAGCAAGATCGCTCCGCGACCCCACTCTCCTCCCAACCATCGGCCGGGTCATGCGCGCCCCGAAAACGTTAACCCATATTCCTTCCAGACCCGCCCCGGCCCGCGCCAGAGCAGGGCGGGAGGCACGACCTTAGTGAATTGGTGCTTGGCAAACGAGCTTTCGCACCTTCGCCGCGCTGCGGCTTGACCGTTTGATGCCGGAGCTTGACGGCGGCGGCGAGGATACGTCCAGCGGCGGAGAGGCCTCCGCGTCCACCGCCAGGAGCGGCGTCTCGCACACCATCGTGACTGTCTTGGCTGTGCTGCTCGGCACCTTCGCGGCCCCGCGGCGGCTGCGGGTGCTGCGTCCTATCTGCGAGCGGTGGAGGGTCGGCGTGCCGCACGCGGTTGCAGCGACGCGTGTGGAGGACGCCTGCCGCGTGGCGATGGAGCGGCTGGCGGTCAAAATGAGCCGCGTGATGGGGAAAAGCGACTATAAAGCTTCGCTTGAAGGCGAACCGCACGAAACAACCCTGCCGCTCACGTCTTTTCCTCAAAATGACTATGCCCTGCGCTTATTTCAACTCCTCGCTCGGCTGGGGGNGGGGGGGGAGATGACCGTCCGGGGTGGCGCAAGCGACGCGGCAGCTTCCAAGCCGGCCGTCATTGCCCGCGGCGGAGGAAGTGTGCTCTACGACG